AGTGCCCACGTCCGGATTCTCAGCCTGGATAGCGTGCCGGTCATTCTATCAAAAAGGCGTCCTACCGAAAAGCCATTCTACCGAAAAATCGCTGACCGAAACGTCGAAGATTGAATGGAAATAGAATTACTGTGCAAATCGGTATAAATCCCTGAATTCGACTGTAGACTTCCGGTCAGATGAATCTCCAACAGGATTCTTCCGAATAAACGATTCAGGCATTCCAGGAAGGAAACCGAAATCGTGATTTTCGGGAGAATTTTCGTTAAAACGACTTTTGGTAGTATGACTTTTCTGTAAAAGACTTTTCGGTAGAATGACTTTTCGATAACGTGGCGGTGCAATGCCTGGATAAGCTCAAAACTACAAAATTTCCCACAAAAATCCCCTCCCTAGCCGTCCGCAAAACTTGCAAACCGCATGGGAGAGGAGGTTTTTTGGGGAAACCTTCCAAAAACCAAGAATTTTCTCGCACCTTGCCGGATGTTTCGCGCCAAGTATCTGCCGGTGCCGGTATAGGACGCATTGAAAAATTGCCAGCGCAAGGTTCATAAACAGCGCACCGGTGATAGCCTAGAGGACGGTGATCGTTATTCGATGATTTGACGATACTAAAGTGTGCGAAGCGAACTGACAAAGGCAAGGATGGGGGTAATGCCAATAATTGTGTACCATGGACCCCAAAACCTGGCGATTAGTGACGGAAAGAGCAATTCTGGCTTGAGCAAGTGCAGATGAAGGTCCACGCCCACCGACCAGCACTGAAATGTGCCAAAATTGTTAATTAATAGTGTCAGTCGCTGCCAAACACCTTTTGAAAACCCCCGCGACAGCTTTTTGAACGCAATTGGAGCAAAAAACAGCTGGGTGGCACTTCTAACGATCAAAGTGGGTTTTTCACAAAACGCGTTTAGTTTTTGCCTAAAAAGGGCACCGAGCGAACATGTTTGGAATAAATCAAATATTCGTAGAAAAAAAAATTGAAATAAATTGCAAGCAACCGTATTCACCTGATACCACAACAAGAAATATCTATAGTGCCTCATCGGTGCCGGCGATGCGAAGATAATTAGATAAAAGCCGAGGGCATTAAAGAAAAACCCAATGTACATCGAGCAATCCATGGCCACGAGAAAATATGTTGGTTCCTCATCCATCGGTGATTTGCGGTTACGGACGACTCGAGTGCAATGTGAGAACCATGTGGCCAGCCGCGCAAAACTAATTATTTCCCTGGGCGACCGTAAAAACTCGGTCTACTTACCCAAGTCATTGCCGCTCGCAACTACCTATTAGGTCAGCGGATTGTGAGCCACCATTGCGCCAAGCCCGGTGAAAACCACATTCCTACAACACCGTCAATTAGGGTAGTCCAAGGGTGATTTTAGGGGGTATCCTGGGTTCACTTTAAACGCGTGTCCGCAGGGTGCCCCAAAAAATCACCCCTACCTAGCGGGCCGGAGAGCTGTCCGATTTTTACGGTTTCGGGATCCATCAAAAGCTCTCGGAAAGGCGGGGCCAGCCCGTCTTTCCGAATTTTGAAATTTCGGAATGTTTTTGCCCGATTCTCGGTATTTTTGATGCAAAGGAAAGACGCTTTTTTTGGGCAAGAACCCATTTAACCGGTTAAAGCGCCACCTATGCTGTGTTTTCTCAAATAGTTTTCTAAAAGCGGCCGTCCCGGTTCCGGAAAAGTAGTAAAAATTCATAAATTGTGGTTTTTGTAAAAAACTCTTTCATCGGAAAAGCAGCAAAAATACGGCCTTTTTCGCAAAAATGTTAGTAAAGGCAAGAAAAATTCCGAAATTTCAAAATCCGGGAAGACGTGCCGGACACGCCTTTCCGAGAGCTTTCGATAGATACCGATGCCGTAAAAAAGGACAGGAGTCCGGCCCGCTAGCTAAGGGGTGGGGATTTTTTTGGGACACCCTGTATAGGTATGGGACGTATATTTATTGTTTTTTTAACGTTGGCCGGACTGCTGCAAGGGAGAAAGTATCAAAACTTGGCTTTAATTTTACGACATCTTCGGACGTAACCAAGCGTTTATTAATAATTAATTTCTTAATCATATAAGTTCATTGGGAAATACGTGGTGGCAATTCTTCAGGCATTTTTTAGGGAATTTATTACTAGCTTTGAGCAGAGCGCATAAAGCTGATCGTCGGCATCGACGTCGTCAATCGGCTGCTCGGCGCCACCGCGATCTGCTTGGCTTTCAGGCTAAATCCTTTAAAAAAAGAAGTGGTTACTGACCCAAATATCTTTCGAGATTTAGCGCCCAAATATCGTCGGTATGTTTCGTTGCTGACCGCCAATGTTATAGACCCAAGCATCGCATGGCACGAATTGAGCACCATCCCGAAATTTATGATACCTATAGCCTTGTTTAATATAAGTTTATATCAACGTTGCCTGGATCCCACGACAAGTCGAACACCACTAATGCCATATAATACATCCAGGGACATGCGATTGTGAGCACCGGGAAGCAAACCTGGTAGCATATATAAGCCTTCTGGTCAAGTTGAAACCTGATACACCAGCGTTGTGACCAACTTTCGATGCAGAATTTTTGTGTGGCGACTCATCGACGTGGAGGTGCGAATGACGTGGAAGCAGTGGATGAGCACACCGATGGTCTGCAGCTACGTGACGTTGCCCCTTTTTCAAAACGTACAAGCGTATTCGCTTCGACCACCATGCAGAAAATAAGTCCAAAAGAGGCCGTCAGGGCAGTGAGGTGGATGATTGGCACTTTAGGACTGGCATCAAGTGCCCAAAAGGCTGGTGAAGCGACGGCTGCATATGAGAAATCGGGGTATCGCTGAAACCGGAAAATGTTTTCAGGTAAGAGTTTATTCCCCCCCCCCCCAACCACTTTGTTAGGCGCCCTTTTTCGTCTGCTCCCTCTCAGCAAAGCCCACTATCTCTGTGGGTGAGGAAGGGGTGTAAACCAGACTTTAGCCGTACTTGGATAGTCCGTTCCATTATGGTACCGCCACCGTATTCCTGATGAAACCTGGAGACCGAAAAAGCGAAACCGCCCGGAACAAGGACGTAGTGGAGTACCCAAATCAGCAGCCACGTCCGGATTTTTAGTCTGAAATGTGGGTCGCGGGTTTCGACAAGGTCTCATAAAATGATTTATTTGGCCCCTTCCCCCACTTGGCCCAATGATCGGTCCTGAGGATCTGTCGATGCCGATATAGGACGCATTGAAAAACGGATAAGGAAAGGCCCATAAAGAGCACACCGCCGAGCCCCTGAATGTCTGGAAGTGACCCCAGAAAGTGATCGATGGTCACACTAATCGTGTGATTAGATTAATGGAGTGGTAAGACCGTTTAAAAATCCTGAACTCACAAAGATGGTTGCCGCGCTGGGCGCAAAAATGGTGAATATTGGGCCCCAGAACCGAACGAGCAGCGCCGGAAAGAGGATTTCAGCCTTGATGCCATGCAGCAACAGCTCTGCCGCCACGGACCAGAGCTGGAAAACATAAAAATCGTCGAATTCTTTGGTTCTTTTTAAAGGGACCAGGACGGTCAGTGTCGATCAAGGCCCATAGGCAATTGGCAGATAGCCAACGGGTCAGAGACGGGTGGGAGAGCGCGCCGAATTGAAAGGGGGCAGAATATTATTCCGCCAATTTATGCAAGTTTAAGCAAATTTCTGATCCCTTTAAGGGGATAAAGACGACATAATTCAATTGGTTACGCGGGGAAAGGGATTTGTGTCGCGTCTCGCCTGGACACGCTCTCTCCGCTTCTGGCAATTTGCCAACAAGCCAATCAGGGGATTTTCGACTGAATCCTGTACGTTCAGTTAGAAGCACTGGTGTTAATTTGTGAGGCTTGCTCACAATCAGTTGCTGATATTCATATGCTGAAGAAAATAGGTACCAAGTCCTAAAATCCACCTGATACCACAACAAAAAGTATTTATAGTGCTTCATATTCATCGGCGAGACATAGATTATCAGGTAGAACCCGACGCCATTAAAGAATAACCCAAGCAACAACGTCGCATCCATTGCGATGAGGAAATATGTGGGATAATGGTCCATTTTTCGGGTTCGTGTAATCCATGTAATTTTTCGGTACGCCGAGGCTTCGTAAAATCGATGGTGTTCACACGTGTTGTGGGGAGCAGGTGCTTTATATTATTGCAGGTACAACACGTACTTTTTTAGCGAGCGGAAACCACCACCCGCTGATAAAAGATTTGGTGTCTCTTCATAGGGTTTTTCGCCGTTTTTGTACGCGAAAAAGTTCTGAAAAATCTACAAGTTTTTCAAACTTAAAAAATTCCAAATTTTTTGTTTGCTTTTCATACGTTTTAACCGAGCGCCAAAAACATCGAAAATTTTTGTAATTTTTTAGTGTTTTTATATCTAAAAACTCTTTAAAATACCCCTCTCATCTGCGATGAGACTCAAGTAACAGCATTTTTGCGAAATTTTATTGGCGGCGATCTCGATATCGGTCGCGCACAGCAAAGCAAAACACGGCAAATACATTTTCAACTTCAACGATCTGCCGCCCCATTCGAATTCGTAGCCCCTTTATTTCAATCCTGACGATGACTCGCAGATTCAGGCCATCAGGAAGAACCTATACCAAAAGGTATGTGGAATTATATCTTTTACATGGCAAGTGGCGAAGCATTTTAATAGGACAAAGCTTGAAATTTGGAATGGCATCAAAAAAATCGAATCGGAGAAAATAATATGTCTGTAGACGATAGAGGTCGAGATTCTTATCATCCACCTAGACGATGAACCGGATTTTAGCGCAGATGACAGATGTTGAGAAAAAGTAGTCCATAGTGCGCGAATCTGTTTTTCCACGGATGTGGCATGTTTTGTGATAACATCAAGAATAGTTTACACATTTATCGATAACCTCACAAAAAATTACAATTAACTTAACGCGCCAAAAAAAACAACAAATTAATCATAGAAGTTAGGCTTCGTGACGCTGCGGTTGTGGCTCTTAAGAGAGTTCCGCTTGTTCCGGCTTCTAAAAAGCATTTAATAAGGGAAAAATATAAGCATACCTTATCGTCGTCATTCAACTGTAACATCGCTATGACTTGCTGAAGCTGCGCGATCGCTTGTTTCTGGTTCTGTATTCAAGTTTCTGATTAATTTTGATCTCCGTTTCAAACCGCAGCATTTTGATCTCGCGTCATCGACGTTTCCTTCAATGCTTTGACCTCAGCCTCTAGGGCTTTTTCCTGAAAAGTGGAATTTTGGAATATCCATGAATATGGCCCAACCTTTGACTCATAGCAAGCCCACTTCTCCGCCCAATCCTTCTTGCAAAATTCCTAGAAAAATTATAATTTGGTGGAAGAGATGAGCTTACATTGTATTCTTTTAGCGACGTACTTCTGAGCTCGAAATTGATGGCCTAAAATCTCTAAAAATACTGGGGAGGAACCTATACCAGTTGTAACTTTTCGGCTTCGACCTTCGCGCAGTTTTCACATGTGGTTTCAAGGCTCATTTGAACTGGGGTTTCCTTCTGCTCCGGCTCGGAAGCAGGCAACGCGGTTTTGCGCTTCTTGTGCTTCTTCCTCTTCTTCCTCTTGCGTGCCGACTTCACCAGATGTGTGGGCTCTGGGCTTGTTGGAATACTCTCCACGCGTCGTGGTTCAGGCTTCCATAGTAGGTGTAATCCAGCGAAACGGTTGTGGACGTAATCTAGTGTAAAGTGTTTTACAAGGGAAGGGTTCCAAGGGAAAATTTGATCGATCGGGCGAGAACGGTTGCTTCAAAACCTGCAATTTTTTTTGGCACAGAGCCCTAGCTTTTGAAAAACCCCTCATTTTTAGATCAGATACGGGGTTTTCTTGCTCATAAAATGTCTTGGATTGGGCTGGATTCATCGCGAAACGGTTAACAATGAATGTTCAACTTATCTGACACGACTCTGAGGTTTTGTAAGGGGGCTTGGAAACGCTACCCTGCACTTGTTAAAACTTGCCAAATAGTTTTCGCATCGCCGGCATAAAACGTGTAGTTTCCACAATGTCCCTGAAGAGTTTGATTTACTTTATGTTAGCTTACTGAACCCAGTCATTATCGGCACATTCTGGGCAGCTCAACGATCCGTCCGGCAGCCAGTAGAACGTCTTCTTGTCCATTTTCCTCACGAGATGGACTGAATCTCTCTCTCTCTCTCTCTCTCTCTCTCTCTCTCTCTCTCTCTCTCTCTGCCTCTTTCGCTTTTGCTTTCACTGATCTTTCCGGAAAAGCTCACTTACAGCTCCGATTCAAACATAATCTGCACGTCATCATGTCCTAAGCAAAAATTAACGAATCTCTGAGCGCCTCACCTCCTCGTTGAAGACATCCTCCTCAAAGGCCAGAATTCCATAATTTCGGAAGTTGACATTCAAAGGGCGCGAATCCACCTTATCCCAATGTAGGCACAATTCGCAAAGGTAGCGCCTAAGAGACGCAACAAGTCGTCGAATTTTTGCCACCGTTTAAAGCCCAACTAAGCGGTTGTTGTAGGAACTTGATAGGCTCGCGGTGGGCATAGCTTCTTCCACCGAACTTGAAATTCTGAACGAAACCTTGCTCTTGAAAACTGCTGAACGATGGCGGCCGTTGAGAAAAAGTTACTGAACGCTTAGATTTCATTAAGCACGTGCTAAACCTTGTCAACTCCGGCCTTTTAGAGCAAATGTTCTCCAAAACCGAGTTGTTCAGCAATTTTTGCAAGACAAGGTTTGTTAAGAGTTTCATCATCGACTGAAGGAGCTATGGCACATCGCAAAACTAGAAAAGCCCCAAAAATTTCCCGGTTGCAAAGGGCTCAATGGCAAAAAAAAACCCACAGCGGGTAGCTGAAATGAATGCATCTCCCACAACAGAGGTGACCACATGGCAGCCGTACACAATTACTCGCGTTCTCCACATCCGTATCGAACAGATTGCAGAAGCAGCAGTAGTCAAATGGTAGATCTTTTTCGTTATTGGGGATTTCCCGAGTTTCGAATTTTTTGATCCGAGCCTAGAGACGGAGTGGATAAACCTCGATATGCATATAGATACAAACCTCTTGATGCTTATCCGAGTCAAAAGACATCCAAAGGATTATCCGTTTCTTCCGAGGCCTCGAACTAAAGACTGGAAAAAAAACAAAAAAAACTAAAAAGCGACAATGGAGAGGGTGTGTTCCAAAATTCCAAAATGAAAAAGTTTGTGCGGGGCTACCAAAAAAATAGGGTGAGCGCGCTAAAACGGATAATCGGCAACCACGCTGGTCGGATTGTAGTGGGCAATTGGGCTCTTGCGCTCCCGGACTCCCAATTTACACAAATATGCCTGGCCGCGTTTTCGATTTTCGAATGCTTGGAGCCATGGAACAAAAAAATATTCCTGTCCCAGTCCTTGCGCAACCGATAGAGTGGACGATTTGGGTACCGTACAGGCCCGTAAGAGGCGAGGGGGGCGAGCCGCCCCTCCGAAATCGGCCGAAGGCCGAAAAGTTCATAAGGTGATTATGATGATTATGATTTAATTTTTCCAAAAAATTTTTTGCCTGCGGCGCTGTTTTTGGCTATTTTTAACACTAGTTTTAGTGTTATAAACCCTATGTTTTCAAAAATTTTGCCTGTGGCGCTGTAGTTTTAGTCATATTAGTGAAAAATTTTTGGGGTCGCCCCCGAAATTTGGGTTTGTTACGGCCCTGGTACCGTATCATCAGTATTTCTTCGCATAGTTTTTGGGAAGTTACCGGGAGATTTTTCAGGTAAATGTAAGCGTTCTGTAATTTTGACAAAATCAAATTTCGAAGCCAAAATAATTCGAAAGCCATGTCGGATGTCGCTAAATTCGAAACATTTCCCCGACGATTTTTTTCAAAGCGACCCGAAATATATCTCGCACAGGGAAGACATAAAAAACAGCAAATACAGGCTATTAGTGTCGATTGGGGGTCACAGAAAGAAGGAGCGCGACTTTCAGATGGACGATCCGTCGGTCTGTGTGCTGACCGTTACACCCAAGGAGTAGTGCCAATCGTCGGGCCCGAAGGCGACCGCGTAGAGTCCAGGATCTCTTGGTCTTCCTTTTCCATGCCAAATCATGACTGAAAGATACGAGGGTGGTTAGAAAAGGTCGACAAATATCTCGAGTTCCTTATCAATCACCCATCACCAGGCCCGTACGGGAGCCGAGATTTCGGGGGGGGGCACCCACCCAAAAAATTTTTGGCGACCCCCCCGGTCGCCACTTTCAAAACATGCGAAAGTAGCGACAATAACAGCGCCGCAGGCAAAAAAATTTAGAAAACCGCGTTTGTAACGCCTAAATTCGGGTGAAAACACATCGGAAACGGCGCGCGCAAGCGAAATGTTGTTCAGCAAAAAGGTGCACTAATGAAAACGAGCGCCGCAGGCAAAAATTTTTAGAAAAATAGGTTTTTTAGAAGTAAAAATCGTTTCGAAACAGTGATAAACAGCGCCGCAGGCAGAAAAATTTTTGCGAAAAAAAATCATAAGGGTCCCCCCTTATGAACTTTTCGGACCTCGACCGATTTCGGGGGGGCACCGCCCCGGTGCCCCCCCCCCTCGTACGGGCCTGCCCATCACCAACGTGGGATTTCGTTTGTCGGTATTTTGGTTGTCGCGGTTCTGATTGTCGGGATTTGGCTGGCGGGAGCTTCTTGGTCGCGATTTTCTGTCAGGGTTTTGACTGTCGGGGTTTTGGCTCTAGGGATTTTAGCTATCGGGGTTTCGATTGCCGGAATTTTTTTTTGGTTTCTGGCTATCGGGGTTTTTTTTATCTGTGGGATCAGGTTTTCTGTGCCATTATTCTCGATGACAATTGCAGAATCTGCTTAAAATCACCGTCTATCAGAGTTCAAGTAATTGGTCGACAAATGCCGACAGGAGTGCTGGTTTTTTAAATATCTTGCAGCTCAAGTGGTCCTCGCCGTTTTGTATTTTCTTGATGGCCCGCTGTACCTAAACCAATTGGATGATCGATTTTATTTTTTTGTCCGCAGATTATCATGGTTTTTCCGGGGTTAAACTTTATGTACGTTCTTCACGCCCCAATCAGCTAAAACACCCACCGTCTTTGGCTCAACGTCCGGATCAAGCAGCAGGAAAAGTACCGAATCATTCCCGTTCTCGAAGCGCTCGAATTCCAGGCTTAAGCAGAAAGAATCTCCAAGAAAGGCCAAATCTACTAATTGTCATCGTTGCATACAAGTCCGTTCAGTACACTGGCAAATATCTCTTCAAGCGGCCGTCCACCGAACTCCTCCGTAAACCACCAAACACAGATGATCCTGCCGCGCTTAAACTAAAAACATATTTTTCGGCGTTTTTGGCCTGAATTTGAGAGACCTTACCGCCAGTTTAGACACCTTAGGTAATAGATCGCCAATACTTTTCCTCAATTTTTCCAACCATCCGTCTCGGAAGTCCTAAAATAAAAGATTTTTTTAGTAATATTTTTTGAATTAGCAATACGTAGTTCTACATAAAGATGAAATAATGAAAAACTCGGGGTTAGCGGGCGGAGCCCGCTAACCCCTTTTGGTTTGAGGTACCCCCCCATACGACTCTTTTGGGGTCCTTTTCCGGATTTAAAAAAGAACCAGGCATCGGATCGCAAAACTGAATACACCATCGGAACCGGCGACACTTTTTACATACTATAAGCTTTTAAAAATTGAAAAAGAATGAAATTTCGAATTTTAACAGCCGATTTAAATTGCGTTTCGAGGCGGGGGGGGGGTATGTCGGGGCGTACGCAAAACCTTTGTAGTCGTCAAAAAGTGCCTTCCCACCATCCGTTTGGGCTGAAATTTTGCACAGTTATTGGGTGTATGATAATCTCGGACCGCAAGAAGAGTTTTTTTCAAAATAGGCTTTTAAAAAATTTATATGAATTTTTAAGTTTAAAAGTTAAATCGCGGTCAAAACAATGGTTAGTGATGTCCGTTTGGGCTGAAATTTTGCTCAAATATGCATTAGACCATGCCGGAATAAGTAAAGAAGAAATTGCGTCGAAATAATGCTTCTTCTCTCAGATATTATAACTTTAAACCTTCGCCATACGGGGCGCCACCCTCCCCTTTGGCGGCCCCAGTCCAGGTCAGGGGGCGGGTCTAGCTTCCCCAAGCCAGCCCTCGAGTCTCGCAGTTGGCCTAGTGGTTAGCACGCTGTACTGGGAAGACTTGGCTGCCGAGTTCGAACCCCGCCCGAAACATGGTTTTTGCCGATTGGCCCCCGTGCATCCTTATGGTTCTAGTGCCGTCACAAAGCGCCGCAGGCAAATTTTTTTGAAGTTTTGCGTACAAGGGTTCATCTGAATAAGTATTCCTTGGCTTATTTTACGATCTTAACAATAAGATTGAGGCAAAAGGGCTAAATTTCTCTCTAAGGCTAAAAAGAGTCTTTTTAAAAAAGGGCTTTTGGTTTTCGCAAAAGAGGAATTCTCGTGGCAACAAAAGAGCTAAATTCCTTTCAAACTCTTAAAAATGCCATAGAATGTGGGATCAACCAAAAGTTGCTGGCACCTTATTAAAACGGACATATCTAGTTTCTAGCGGTTTCGGCTTGTAAATAATTTCTTTATTATGATCTATTTGCATTTTCTTGAAATTTACCTGTGGACCTGACCTGTGATCTGGGATGGTACCGAGTTTATTAAGGTTTTAAATAGCCAGCAACTTTTTGTTGTTCCCGCATTCTATGGCATTTTTAAGAGTTTGAAAGGAATTTAGCTCTTTTTGTTGCCACGAGAATTCCTCTCTTTTTGCGAAAACCAAATTTACTACATACTTTGATAAGTCGCGGCAAATTGTCTCCAATCCAGAACTTGTCGCATTTGAGAGTACATTCACCGATTCTAATTTTCTCGATGTCACCGGTTAGCTAAACCTTTCAATGTTCTCCTTCGCGCTTCTCTCTCTCTCTCTCTCTCTCTCTTTCTCGCTCTCTCTCTCTTTCTCGCTCTCTCTATTTCTCATTCTCTCTCTCTCTCTCTCTCTCTCTCTCTCTCTCTCTCTCTCTCCCTTTCTCTCTCTATCCTGCTCTCTCGCTCGCTCTCTCCACTACCAAAAATACAGGCTTAATTTATCAAAATCGAAAAGGTTTCACTTACGCTTTCAGGACACTCTCTCCCCAGAACGAAAATAAAGATCATCAAGCCCCCTTCCGTGTGAAGATGCTGGTATCTTATTTTGACAGCGCAAGGTGTGATCAACTCTCCAGCCTCGCATTCCAGCACTTTCCTGAAGGATGGGCAGTAGGCGGAATTATGCAGGGCCCCCGAGCGACTTGGTAGCCGCCACGCGCACAGCATGGTTCGGAAATCTGCCTAAATTGCAGCATTTTGTCGGCCTTTTACTTAATTAGTTTTTTTTGGCTCATTTGATGAGCGCCTACCCCTTGTTCTTCCAACGAGGTGAAAAGATCCTGTAGTTTTTTGACATCTGATTTTACGCGCCGGGTTCTAACGCGCTCTCTCGGTATAGCTGCTTCTGGAGCCATGGCCATTTCGGGAACGGTATCGGCGCTACAAAAGATTTTTCCAGAAGAAGGGGCATTCGAGCTACTTTGCAAGCTCGTTGGCCTCAGCCTCAGGTTCAGCTGATATTTCCATTTCTGCAACCTGAAAGGATCATTAGGTACTAGCGGGCGAGAAAGATACCTTGAGCTCAAGAACAAAGTCTTCGTCTTCTTTGCCGCCTCTTTTGAAGTAAGTAATGACAAGGAGTCCGTCCGCGTTTGGATAGGGCTTGCCGTGAAACGCTAGCATCACCTAAAAACAAGGCCCAATAACGAATGAATTCCGGATCTACATCCCAACCTTTTTCGCGGCCGCTGCGCTAGTGAAGTTGATGAAGCAGCTCTTGCCAGTTCGATCTCTTTGGAGTGTTACACTGAAAGCATCAAACAATGTATCAATTTTGTGGATTTACACCCAATTTCGATAATCTATTTCCAAAGGAAAAAAATCTGGTTTTCGAAAAGTCATTTACCGAAAGTCTTATTTTCGAAATTCAGAATTTCGTGAAATATGGGTCCGTCCAGCTATCAAGAAATGGCCGCAAAAGGGTATGATATAACAAAGCAGATTTTTTAAAATCCTGAGTTTCCAGAAGTCGTTTTTGAAATAGGACATTTGTAAAGATGGCTTCTGGAAAGATTACTTTTTCGAAAAAAGATTTTCGAAAAGAAGTTTTTGAACGAGAGAATGCTATCTCTCTCTCCCTCCCTCCCCTCCCTCCCTCCCGCCCTCTCTCTCTCTCTCTCTCTCTCTCTCTCTCTCTCTCTCTCTTTTTCTTTCTTTTTCTCTCCCTCTCTCTCCCTTTCTCTCCTCTCCCGCCTCTTCTCCCCATGGTCAGATCCGCGAATTTAAGTTATCTTGGAGAAAACACCTACTATGGTTGATTCACATCTGCTCCACCACCCAACAGCTCCCTCAAAACATCTTGAGCCGACACTCGCTTAGGAATATATTGGATTTCAAGGCTCGTATTATCCCCCTCAACAGCTTTTGTTGCCTTCGCAAAAGTCTCATGCTCCATGGACATAACGTAGCTATATCCCGGGAAAACGGTGCCATTATATCGTTCAATGAACTAAACGGTGGCTTCCTCTCAGGAGAATGTTTCCACTTTTTCGGCAGCTTCTTGTGTCGGCATTGTCAAAAGGACCTTGCCGAACCGCGGGTGACCATAGCATTTAAAGCTGAATTTTCTGAATATTCGATGTTCATAAATTATAATCCCGCAATTGTTTTAACGGCAGACGGGCGACTGTTTTGAAGAGTTGCTTGCAATGTTCATGCTGCACATCTTCCGGGATCCGCTCGATGCCGCTGATGAGTACCGTCTTATAGCCGATGGTATGCTGAAGGCAGCCGGATGTAGGATACATCCGGAGAAGCTGGATGCTAATCCAGTTTCACATGGGAGCAAGTCTACCCTGCGCAGAATTGTGCGCCAATTTCGAATGTATTTTCAAAATCTGCCAACGGAACCGATTAAAAGGTTGTGTGACGTTGTTAAGCGCGAAAACAGCCAAAATGGCACAATTTCGAGAAAATTTTACTTTCTCCGCTTAAGAGAGGCGTAGCTTTGTTACTCTGTTAGTTTCGCAGGTTTTAAAACCAAATTCGGAATCAGCGCAAAATTCTGCGCATAAGCTTGGCACGGCGTGGAAACGGGCTTATTTTCATTTTGTCGAAATCTAAATTTTCGAAATTAAGTGCGTTGTCAGCCCTGATTTTCCATACATCTTAAACGTTTGACAAATTGAAATGTCAGCACATTCAAATTTCGACAAGATGGAATTTCTACAAAACAATATTTTGAGAAAATGAAATTTCGACAGAATCAAGTTACGATAAAATGTTTTTCAAAAAAACAGATTTCGACAGTTCAGATATTTTGACAATGATAATAACTCCTGGTAAAAAGAGGACATTAACAAAAATTCCTATTGTTAGCGGAAATCCTACCCCAAACTCAGGGTTTCGCGCGACATCATCCAGGCCCAGCCGTACGGTCACCATGGGCATCTTTTCCTTCGGTGCATGTTTTTTCCTTGACGAGGTTCCCGCACCCACCTTCTAAATATCTTCCCCACGTCGGGAACCGAGTGTCATACCTTTTTCTTAACTCCCATTTTTTCGCAAGTCAGGCAGATTTCCTCGGCAACCGCGCCCTCTGATACTCGCGCTTCATAGCAGGCGCGGCAAACTTGGTGGAGGTTCTTGCAGCCCTGGTTCCAGTATCGAAACGGACCCACTAAAAGAGTCGATAATACAAATAGAACACCCTCTTTAACTCGTCGGATCGGATCGGGATGATACTTCCGCCAATCGATAGCCCTTCTAATGGCGGGTTTACAACAATATTCAAAACCATGTTTTTATTTAGATGCGCGATTTCGCAAGGCATTTTGTAAAATGTTTGCTATTTCTCGGGGTTGCATACGAGCTAATTTGCCTTGATTTCTCCAAGCAGATGAACCGAAAATTTCGGTTAATTAGATGCAGTGGCCTTTCCTTAATGTTTTTAAGTACTTTAATGGTTCATTTAGATAAAAACAAGGTTTTGAAGTCTGATGCAAACTCGCTGTTGCAGGGCTTTCGATTGGTGTAACTACCATTCCGATCCGATACCGAGTTAAAGTGGATGTTTTTTGGGACACCCTGTATACAAAGATGAGTAGAAAGTGTTTGCAATTCTCACACGGCTGAAGGCATTGGCTACAGGGACGCAGTTCGGCGTCCGACACGACGGGAATCTCCTCGGCGTCTTGCGGCTTCAAATCCTTGCGGCCCAAATCTAACAAAGATCGAATAAAGAGCAACAGTTCCGCAAAGTATGAAGAAAACCTTTAATTAAATTACCTGCAGCCATAATTAATGACCTGCTGCTTTTGACGTCGGGAGCTTGTTTATGGCGCTGACCGCCAGCAAACGACAGCTAAAATACGAGCGCCTCGAAGGTTTGCCGATAACAAATTATTTTCCGATTCCGAAGAGTCGGGAAATACGTATATTCTTATCAGCGGATCGTGTGATTTGTGAATCATGTGATTCGTTGTCCCAACTTTGTATGCGAATGTGGACGTATAAAGATCTTTGCGCTGTGGTCAAGGTGCGATGTTAGATAAAAGCATTTTATTGAAAAAAATACAACAATTTTTTATGGCATAAAATTTTTACAATAAGTCAGAGGAAAGCCAAAAATACAGCCTCCCCCACAAAAGAGTTGTCCTTATGCGATATCGAACTTGTCATGCAGCAGATCTTGGACTTCTCGCGATTGCTGATACAGCTCACATTTCACGGCAGCGTCGAGAAAGCTCATTTTTCTTATCTCCATCACTAGCTAAATTATTTCATTTGTCTGACCGTTTATCAACTTTACCGTCAATGCGGATTTTTTTTTCTTCGCGAAAAGAAAGAGCATGGAGCCCACCGGCGTGTCCATTTGCTCAAATTTTAGCCTAAATTTTTTGATAGTCGAAGTGACGTGCTGCCTACCTTCCCTCATCGCAAGCAAGGCCATGCAGAACGTTCGCAAACAGGGTCTCCAACTTTTGATCGTGGAACGAATTTTTTAACCACCAAATACAGATGACTTGGCCGCCCTTGTACTAAAGATTTAATTTTGGTTTTTGGTACGACTCATAACGTTTCTAAGATCTTTATGGTGTTGCCTCACTTACAGTGCCTTGCTCCACCGAAGTTAGTAGGTTCCGTACGCGACGTGTATTGTCCGTATCCGGCAAAGGCTCATGTGGTGTTGGCACGACTTTCGGTGGTTTGGTTGGACTTTCTTCAGAAGCTGTTTTGAGTGCCTGGTTCTTCACATTAAGGGTTATATTCCGAGCACATACCTCGTTGGCAATCGCCGGGCATCGCTTGCTTAATGCTGTATAACTGACCGTAATCGTTTGGTTTTCTAGTACAGCGCCATCCCATTTTGTGGCAACCTGAATTGAGCCATAGCTAGAGGTAGGCGGATGCTGCCGATAGTTAAAGTATCAATAACTTGACGGGTAGTTTAACGCATATTAATACACAAAATATACCGGATGTCCCATAAAAAAGCACTCCTCCGGCATTTCACCGTATTACATCCCAACAGTCCCAAAATTGGACTGGAGGTGTATCATACCCTAAATAACCACAATCCTGAGTTATAGCCCGTTCGCTAGAGTAGTTTTCGAGTTATCGCCAAAATAATGTTTTTTTTACGCGGTTCTTAACAGTTTTTCGGCTATCTTTTTGGACTTTGCATCGATTTGCATCGACTTCCGGCTCCGAAACCCTAATTTCGCTTAATATCGGGGATGACTTTGCGTTACAAAAATTGTTGAAATCAACGGTTATTTCACTTATTTTAAACAAAAAAAATCTCTAGGGGTGAAGAAGGCTTGCCGCTTCATTTTCACTTAAGATTCGAAGGGTCGATTCCGACGAAAACCATATGAAAAACGGATAAAAAAGTTTATTTTTGGTGTATCTCGAAGATTACTGTAGCTGGCTGGCTATAATTCAGGATTGTGGTTATTTAGGGTCTGATACACCTCTGGTCCAAATTTCGGACAGATCGGATGTAATAAGGCAAAATGCCAATATTTTTGAAAATAACTTGCTTTTTCCGCGGCTGCTATATTATCCAGGTATGCAATGCAACATTGGCTATTCTCACCGCTCATCCGTAATAACATATCGGGGCTTGAAAAATGTTGCTTTATCGCGGACTTACTAGTACCTGTCCTCCCAGTAGATCAAATTCTCCCCATTCTCCAGGAAGTCACTAACAACGTCATCCTGAGAGTGGCTCATCGGAATCTTGTCTATCACGATTTTTGTCCGATTGTACTGAAATAATTCATAAAAATAGGCCCCCAGCGTACCGAAACATTTTTAGTTGTCTCTTCTTTTTGATTTAGCAATTGTTGGCATTCGGCCAGTGCGCCGCACAGTTGTTTGCTTAATTCGCTGATCTAAATTTTTTAATATTATAAGAGTGATCAACGCTTATACTCGGCTTTGGCTTTCTTCTTGTACGCGGTTGAGTTGGTTGTTTAGTTGCTCGATCTAGATTTTTCTATGCTAAACACCGGGTGTCCCACCATACTGCGCATTCCCTCCTTTTCGTCTTGCCATTTTTTTGACAGCTCGGTCTGAATGGTTTTAATGACGTTTCTAGCATTGATTTGCATACCTGATTTTTCTCATTCGCCGAAAGTCGGCTGATCATCTCTTTATTAACGATTCTTAGCATATTGGCTGCGTTTGCGTGCTCCTTCATTACTGTCTAAAATCGAGGCATTCCGAAGAAAGCAGCGATTCATTAATACGTTAGACTATATAAATAGAGTTTACAAAGCCTGCCTCGAATCTCTTGTGTATGCCCAGTTGAGTCATGAATCCGATGTGGGCCGCCTCCTTTCTTGCCATTAGTGCGCGCAATTCTTTTAGCTAAGACTAATTTCTAAATCTTTTTAAAGGTTTTCACTTCAGCTTCCAACGCCTTTTCTCGCTTCGCCGGATTTTTTATCGTGGCCTAAATCGACGTGTTTTTTTCATTTTCATGGCAGTACCTGCCACCGGGCAGCCAACGCCAATATTTCCGAGTCCATGTCTTTGCGCTGTTGGAGCAGGAAGGCCACCTAATTTTAAATCATATTTTTGGGTTCTCCGCACAAATCCCCGTTCCCACAGCTTCAGTTGGAAAGCGCGGACCTCAGGCGAATCCTGAAATAAATATTTTTGCTGGAATTTTATTTGTAAAGTTCGTATTTGTTTAGTGCGATGTGGTATGCGTGGGGTTTTTCTGACCTTCGGTTTGGGCCATGGGTCGTCGCAAAAGCGGCAAATCGCGTGTTTTCCCCAGTCTTCAGCACTGAAACGTATTTTGAGGTTGATATTCAAAAAAAGTGTTTGCCGCTCATTGAATTGATATTTGATACTATAAAACTACCAGATCGTTAAACGCTGGGTCGTCAAAATCGTCAAGGATGTCCAAAGAGCTTTTTGAAAACTCACGTCTCTGCCGAATTCAACCCGTTGTAGCATTCCATACACATATTATGCCCACAAATATCAAGCGTGATTTGCGGCCCAGCCGTAACTATTATAGATATACTGATGTCTTAAAAGGCCAGGCGCACTCAATTGTTTGCAAACGGTGCAATGGGTTGTTTCGTTGATCTCTGGCTCCGGCTCCGACTTTTTTGCGGGTACCGAATTCGAATTCTGAAGGGGGAACCTCGGCAAAAAAGTCGTCTTACTTTGTTGCGATTCTTGTTGGAAGGTCCGGGTTTTGACGTGGAGGCACCAGCCGTTGAAGATTTCGATTGCTAAACCAAGTTGTTTCAGCTGTCCTTTGTACCGTATTGTTGGTTTGGGCTGAGCTAATGCAAAAAAGGGGAGGAGGATTTTTCCTTTTCCGGTTTGCTGAAACCAGCGATCCCAGGCGCCTGGCGAGTTTTGACGAAGCCACTGTAAAAAGTGTCCGACAAATTTCGATTTTTTTTTGCTAAATTAATGTACCTCTGAGCCTCCCACTCCTGCTCCCTCAGTCAAATCCTCATCTTTTTCCGGTCGTACCGCCGCTTCTTCCTGTGTTTGATAAACCCCCCGGTTCTCACACGAAAGGCACTTTTCGGATTCCCAGAATGCCGGCCTAAATTTCAAAAAACTATTTGGCTAAGGACCGTCAAACCCCACCCAAACATATTAAGTGAAAATTGATAGCAGCTTTGGCAGACCCGATGGCCCCTGACGCAGCGGGAAATCGAATATCGGGGCAAGCCGCGGTCAACTGGAAGATGGTTACCGTGTAGCCTGGTATTTTCCAACTTACAAAGCTGAAAGCACTGGCTACAGCATCGGAACTCCTCTTCCAGGCCAGCATCTGGATCGGTGAATTCGAAATCATGCTGTGTGGACTGCCCGGCGCCCATTTTCCTAAGGAGGGATAGTCAGTCGAAAAATAGTAGTTATAATACATCGTAAACTCAAGAAATCAAGACGAAAAGATTAGAATTAAGTGTCAAAGCGATTCAGTACTAGGACTCCAAACGATATCTGAACCTTTACTGCCAGACAAGGGCGAAGGTACCGTAGTGATATTTTTAATTAGGCTAGTTAAAAATAACGGTGATTAAAGAAATCCTGAAAATATAGGTTATTAAAGAACTCAAAATAAATAAAATCGTACTTTAGGGTAGTTCGTGACTAATACGTATACTTCGCCAACCACCCCGGGTGGTACCACCCCCGGGGGGGTGGTGGGGGAGGAGGGGGGGGTGGGGGGGGTGGTGGGGGGGGGTTGGGGGGGGGTCGTCGGGGGGGTGGGGGGGGGTTGGGGGGGGAGGTCATTCATTTACCCCCCCCCACCCAAAATTTTTTGAATGGCAATTAAACTTTCCGTTTACATTGTCTTTGAGGACCCTTCTCACCGAACAATGAAGTAGTAACTAATACGATTCCAAATGTCCGCTCAGGCCACATTTTTCCACCGGAAGCGGTTAAATGTGGAATTGCCTGCTGTGAACCCCGCAGCTGTCAATAGAAGTGCCCCGCAAAATTCTGGAGATAACGAACAGTTTTTGGGGGTAGATGAGTCGGCAAATACGTATACCCTTATCGCCACATTTTGTCAGCGCTGGCGAATGGCTTTTGAAAAGACTTGTTGTGAGAATGGAGCTTTTGTTCGTCAAATTTGTCCAAAATCTTTGCCATGGAAAGTGGAATATGAATTTTCGACGTCGCAAGCTAGCAGAGATTCTTGATCGCTTCGTAAATGTCCTCTAGCAACAACGTTGTTTTATTCAACCTCATGATCACAAATTAGCACAATTCAGTGGCGTATGTCTGCTCGGTTCCTGGGAATTTGGCGGTCCTGTAGTATGTAGCGATCAGACGGGCCATATTCTTCGTCGCAAATTTCACTTTGCAGGATTTTAGACCATCGGGCTGGACGGTAAATTCAAATCTGAAAATGATGGATTGCCCAGTCAATTGGTTAAAGGGATCAGGAAGGATCAGGAAAAATTAGCATAAAACGGGTTTCGTTCTAAAAATTAGCATATAATATATGCTAATTTTTAATTGGCCGGTTGGCCGGTTGCCAACCATAGTTGACCCCCCCATCTACTGGGCGTTCCTTATCCCTGTAAGAAGGAAAATCAGAGGGTAAGAGTTACCCTGGAGGATTGGCGAATTGAATCTTCGTCCCACCGACCGACAAGTTGTGAAAAATTGAGATTAAGCTGAACATGTCGGCCGAAGGAGGCAGATTTTTGAAGAGGACTCGATCGGTTTCCTGAAAACCTCTCATTAAATGGGCAGGCGCCATCATAATATTGAAAGCCATTTTCTCGAAATCCCTAATTTCGAAATTCCGGTACCTCGACATTTCATAATGTCGTAATCTCATAGCGGCTAATTTTTTTCGAGGAGGTTCTAATTTTCTTTTAATTTTTGCGTGATAATATTTACGACATTTTGATAGAAAACCCTAAATTAAGGTTGCGGGAACGTGTTTGACGTTCTTTTATCAAAACACTGGTAATTAAAAAAACCACTTTCTTAAAAATCGCTGCTAGTTTCTAAATTTTTTAGCCAAAGTGGTCTTAACGCACTTTTGCCTTGATCGACGCCTTCAACACAGCGAGACTCGGATGCCTTGGGTTATTATTGGCGCCGTAGTACTCGATCACCAACTTATTTTTCGTATCCGGGTACATCTTCGCGTTCCAGCTGGCAAGGGTCTAAATAAAGGTCATATCAAAAAAGGATACGATCTTACCCTAATGCCAAGCTCTTCATTGACTAGATAAGCAACCATAGTTTTAATTTCCTGATCGAAATCGTCGTTGACAAGGTAGATCTTCGGACTAGAGCGGATTAAAGTTTAAAGCCGTGACCGAAGCGATACCGTCCGTTTTCTTGCTTCAAATTGAGCTCCTGGCTGAAGAAAGTGGTGATCAGTTCATCAATGGTTACTGTAGCAGGCAGGCCCCTGACGCATACGACGCTTTTGTCGGTCTAAATAGCAATGGTATGAAAAAATGTTGCTTGAACTTCACGTCTGAAAATTTCAATCGTGTACGCCTAACCTAAACCCAAGCTCAAGCTAGGTCAAAGCGATTTCATCTCCCCAAGCCAAAGCCCAAGCCCGAGCTAAGCCTAACCTATAAAACAATTACCGCAGCTCTTGTAGGATCCGGCTTCTTGACAGCCGGCTTATGGGGTTGTGGTGCTGCCGGAGGAGGTGTCGGAGGTGTCGGAGGTGTCGGAGGAGTGGGAGGCGTCGGAGGCACCGCAGAATTGGGTGCATAATTCGGTGGTGGTCCGTAAGTTGGAAAATTCGGAGGCGGGCCCATGAACGGATAGGCAACCGGATGGTACGGCATGCCATACAGGCCGGGAGGTGGCATAAACTGCCCGTGTTGCGGGTTGAAAGGCATCCGGGGCGGGACTGGCATATCGTAGCCCGGACGTCCGCGAGGCCCGCCTAAAGTAACGATTACAACTTTACTGTGCATAAAAATAGTTCAGCGCAACGAGCGCACTTCCATGGCGTTCTTTACCACCCAGAGCCATATTGAAAAAATTTTTTGGAATAAGCCAGCCACGTGTGCCAGTTTAGGCGATTTTAAGTTAAAATGCACCGGAAAAGCGCGCCGGCGCATCACTATTTCACAAAAATTCAATTTTCGCTGTTAAAATTGAGTCTTTGTAAAGATCTCCGCCATCTTCCCTTTTAGGACGCGATTAGCATACGCCCGAAATGCAGAGTACGCATAATTATAAAAAGACAGAGGACACATTTTCGCAGTTTTTCCTCATTTTTTAACCTCGAGGTGATTGTTTATCTTTTCATAGTTCACCAGAGCCCAAAATAATCCGAGAGGCCCAAATTATATAAGGTAGGATTACCGTATCCGTATTGCTGGCTTCTGGCCGGCGATGGTGGGCGGCGATTCTGATTGCCGGTTGGGCGCTCTAAAACCGTTATTGATCTGCATATTACCATTTGTACAGTTAATTCAAAGGCATTGCCGATTAGGACCTACCAGTAGACTGTGTTCTCTCGATTTTCTTCCTTCGGAAGTAAGTAATGTTGAGGACCATCTTAGTGTTGGGATAGGGCTGATCATGAAAAGCGTCCATGACCTAAAAGGGTCGTAAATTTGCAGTTGCCTTTCTCGGATACCTTTTTAGCTGCTTCTTCGGTTTTGAAAGACACAATGCATAGCTGGCCTGCACGAGCTGGTTGAAGCGTGATGCTAAAAGTTTACCTTATGGGTCCGTGTAGTTCTAACATTCTAACTCAAGGTTCTCCTTTCTCTCTCTCTCTCTCTCTCTCTCTCTCTCTCTCTTTCTCTCTCACGATAGCATCTCTTACTCGCACGCTCCCTTTCTCTTTCTCTCTCTCTCTCTCGCTCACTCTCGCTCGCTTTCTCGCTCTCCCTATCACTCACCCGATCTCGCTCACTCTCGCTCTAACTCTCGCTATCTCTCTCTCTCTCTCTCTCTCTCTCTCTCTCTCTCTCTCTCTCTCTTTCGTCTAGCACCCACAATCGTTGGTTCAGATCTGCTCCCCCATTCAACAATTCCTTCAAAACATCCTCCGACGTCACACGATTTGGCAAATTCTGTATGTAAAGCGTCCTCTTTTGCTCCAAATCATTATTCCCATCGACATCGGCCTTTGGCTTGCTGTCGAAAGTCTCATGCTTCGCCGACATAATATTTTTATGCCCCGGAAAACATTCCCCATCGTATTTGTCGATGAACTAAAGCCTGCATGAATTCAATAAATATTTTCAACCTGTTTGGCAGCTTCTCGCGTCGGCATCGACATGAACACCTTTCCAAATCGGTTGCCCCCATAGCATTTGATTCTAAAGTGGCATGAATCGATGAAGGTTTTGTGCTTGCTAACCGTAGTTGTTCTTCCGGCAACCCGGTAGCTTCTTCGAACATTTCACGACATTTCTCTAGTTTTTCCGCCTCACCGATGCGCTCGATGCCGCTGATGAGCACGGTTTTGTAGCCGATATTCTGCTGAAATCTTATCACTTTTGAGGAAAAGGGGAGTACCCCGAATTCTGGATTCGCGGCGACATCTGGTTGCTCGTCCACCGGCTGCTTCTTCTTTGGGTCTACGCTGGGAGCAATTGGAGCCGGTGGAGGTGATGGTGGCTTTCTAGATTTTTTAGGTGCTTTGCGAGCTGGCAAAACGTACGGTTTCTCGGCAGGTTTTGGAGGTACGGCCGCTTGCTTCGGACTCGTTGGAGTCGGCGACCTCGGTGAGTCTTTTGCGGTGGGATTCTAGAAACTTGCAGGAATATTCAGCCAAGTAGTAATCGTGCTTTCTAGCTTTCAAGCCCAAGATAAATTTAAGCGAAATTTAGGTTCAGCCTAAGCTAGTCTTAAGCTAGCCTAAGCTAGGACTAAGCTAAGCCCAAGATAAGCCTAGCTAAGCCTAAGCTAAGCCTAAAGCTAGCATTCGTCCTTACCGGTCGGTTAGCACTATGCAGCTCTCGGAGCGCATACACTGCTCGTTGCACCTCAAAGTTCGGCGTCATATTCTCGAATTTCCGGTTGCACTCCCAGCAGACGGCGCCCGAGTTGCTAAGGACAGTTTCACTAGGCTCCTGCGTATATCCCTTACTGTTCGGTTAGACATGTCGCGCAGTAGGTGTGTCCGCATGGAGACAAGATTAGGGGACGTCTCAGATCGTCATCATCTCAAAAAACACACAAAGCTGGACGTCTGTACTCTTGCACTTACAAGGCTCTCGGCAAATCGAACAGCACAAAACGTTTTCAAGTTCGGGCTGCTCTTGAGCAACAACGACGGGAATTTCCGGTTTGCTAGAGCCTCCTTGTTTAGTCGGGGAACTGAGCTTTTGATGGGGCTCCCCTAGCTTCAGGGCCTCCAGCTTTTTCAGCGAGTACGCCGCGTCGGCCAGCTTCTGCTTCTCGGCACTGGCTTTTCGCTTGGATTTTTCTTGCTGCTTCTCGTCGAGCCAATGTTTGAACACCATGCGCGCCTGAAAATATTAATTAAATTTGGCGACTTAGGCGAATTTTTTAGGTAAAAACTAAAGATTAAAAATTACCCGTTCGACGACAGCGCTATCGGTCGCCCCATCTTTCGCAAAATAAAAGCATAGATTTGGTGTGTACCTAAATTCGCAACTTTACAACTTTTGTTACGAAACTGAACTATCATATGGGGTTCGGAAAGAAATGCTAAGCTATAGTATTATATTATTACCAGGAAAAAATACCCACCAAATCCCTTCAAAATCCGGGTTCTCCAAGATGTAGAGCACGATATAGGCGCACAATTCGTGCCAATTTTTGTGGCTGAGAATTGTGAACACCTCGAAGCTTGCCTAAAATTGTTGAAAATGGGCTTAAGCCGAAGCCTAGACCTAAAGTAAGCCCAAGCCCAAGCCTAGGACCAGGCCTAAAGCTAAGTAGAAGCCTACCGAAAACCCAAGCCTAAGCCTAAGCTTAAACCTATGACCAAGCCCAAGCCTAAATCGAAGACTAACTGTAACCCTCTTATGGTCGAAGTGGCAATTCCGTACGTGAGATAGTGCAAAAAAGTTTTTTTTGACGGGCCCTTCCTTGCCCAAGATGGTCAATTTTCAAAATTTTAGAAATTTTGAGCTACGGATTCTTGAGGCAGCCCGATTCGAAAGAACACGTTTTTTACCCCGGAAAATGTCTTACTCTCCACCAAAAGTATTTTACGGTATTTTTAGAACTGGCATTTTGGGTGTTAAAAACGCTTGCAACTTTTTAATCTGAGGGGTTCCGCAACTTTTGGAAACGGATTCGGAATCAGCAAAAAATTCTGCACAAGATGTGCTATCTCACGTACGGAATTGCCACTTCGACCATAAGAGTGTTACAGTAAGCCTAAAGCTAAGCCGAATCCAAACGAAAACCTAATGTCAAGCCTAAGCCGTAGCACAGGCCCAAGCCCCAACCTCGACATAAGCAACGCCCTACGCCTAAGCTTAAAGAGATGAGGACGGCATCTGTTGAACCCCCGTTGCGGGGGGTTCAACAGGTCCGGCAGCGCAGGGCGCCCAGGGGAGAGGCGCAGAGACATTTTCTTTCCCGCGCGTAATCGATTGACTTATGCCGCCCCTATCCCTTTAAACCTAATCCTGAGCCAAGTCCAAGCCGGAGTCCAAAGCCAAAACCTAATTTTCAGCCAAAAACTAAGCCTAAGCCGGACCTAAGCATAAACATAAGCTAAGCAAACCTTCTTGGGAACCACCGGACAGTCCGAAGAATTCAAGTTTGTTGCACCAGCTAAATCGAATTTAAAAAAATTATATTGACTATTTACCTTTTACTCCTTCGGCAATCGCCATTGGATAAATGTGTTTAAAGTAATTAAGACAACGTAGGATTGTTTTTTCTTGTTTTTCTTTGCTGAAATTTGAGCGGTATTCTTAGAACACAAAATAACTATTTCTCGATTGGGTGAACTTACGGAATTCGGAACGCTTGGGTGATGATGGAAGCCTGCAGCGCGGAAAGTTCCGGGCTTCTTGCCACCATCGTGATGAATTCTTGAATCGGGTCCATCTTGCCGGTAAGGTAACAAGAATCGAAAGTGGCTGCAGAATGGGGATCGACGCGGGAACGGCGGATTTTACGAGCAACAGAAAAAGGGGTGGGTGATAAGCTGCCGGGATTTCGACGCGTAAGAAGGGGTGAAGCGGCGACTCTGTGATTCAAAAGCAGCGTTTTATTTGGTAAGGGGAGGGGGGAAATCATTTTTTCTTGTGCAAAGCTCGGCCCCAAATGGCTTTGTGTATCATAACTTATCGCTAGACTTTACTTGGCCCCCAGCCGGAAGGTTCCTAAATTTTTTCTCGAAAATTGCAAAAACTAAATATTAAAATTTATAAGTTTAATATAATGTCTAACAGGTTTGCAGGTTTTTACATGTTTTTGGTGGGCTTACGTGCAGTTGACCCGCCCCAGCCGACCCCCACCTACCGTATGTCGGCCCCTGTTCATCTACAGGTACGTAAAGTATACCAAAATACTCGCCAGAGCAAGACAAACCTTTTGGTATACTTTACACACCTGTAAATGAACAGGGAGCCGAGATACAAAACTTGGGGCGTCCTGCTGGGAGGGGGGGTAAACTGCTGCACCCCAATCGAGCAGCGTAACTCCGCGTAGCGCTAAGCTTTATTTTTTTGCTCTGGATCACTTGCGGTGTCATGCGTTGTGTCAGGGCAATGTATTTGTTGTGTAAAGTAATATTTAATTTGTGTCTAAAATACTATCAGCAACAATTTATGGCCAATAAAGCAACTCATGGTTAGACCAATTCGGTGGCGTACGTCTGTTCCGTGCCCGGGTATTTCGCTGTTTTATAATAAGTCGTGATTTGTCGGGCCATCTCTAGCGTTTCCAGGTAGACCACGCAAGATTTGAGACCATTTGACTGTTCCGAGACGCGACACCTGAAAATGAAGGTTCTTGGAAATCGAGGTTTCGAAGAAGTCTCCTTGTCGGGCCAGTTCAACCTACTCGCTGGAGTTGCAAAAACGGATAGGCATCCCGGCAATATTCTTTCCGTGAAAGAGCCAAAACAGCCCGCGCAAACTTGCGGCGTGCGGAAGATCCCGAAAGCGAACTTGACACATCGTCGGCATTCGCGAAATGAACGGGGTAAGTGGTGCATTTAGAAGCGGATGCGCAGGATCACGGTCGTCTCGACTGCGATGGCCTTCTGAAACCGAACAAAAAGTCAGGAACTGCATTGTACAGGGTGAGGCATATATATGGCAACACCCCCAGACCATACTAATTTGCCTATCGAAAAACTAATTATTTTTTCGGGAGATTGGATGTTTCCCATAAACGAACTAGATTTTCTTTCTGCAGGAGACAAACGAAAACGGTTGTACAATCTTTAATTTTTGATTTATAGTAGCGGGAAGTTTAGCGATTTTGTCGAAAAAGCGGTGTGTTGGCACGCTGCTCATAGAACCCCGGATATTAGTAGCCCTGCTACAGGATTTTGTATTTAAGTTTAGTTTGATCTTATTTATTCTTACCAAAATTCTTTTAGTCAGAAACTGGCGAGGGGATTTTGCTATATTCAAAAAACGCGCGCTTACCCACCCCTCACCACCCTTACGTTGACCACAAAAAAATTAATTATAAAATGCCTGTCAATTGCATTGTTTTATCTAAGCAATTGTTTAAATTATAGGCATCGGATTGAACCAATTCCAAATGTTGAAACCAAGCAATTCAACAATTAAAGATCAAAAAAAAGGCAATTTTACTTTTTTTACTATGATTTTGGGGCTACCCGAGAACAATTCTAAAATTCCTGCCTACTTAAAGGAAATGAATTGGTTTAATTACCTTTATCTGTCACGACTAGGTGGTACACATATTTTTTGGGGCCATTCGTGCCCAAAACGACGTTTCTGAACCATGCTGAAATTGGCTTCCAAGGGCTTCCGTGCCAGCGCCACCCTTACGACGCACAGTTTTTGCTTCAGAACAAAAGTTTGTAAGGTTGCTGCGTTCTAATATTTTAAGAGTGGTCACAGGACACTGGTGTCTAGATTTAAGCAAATTATTGAAGCCCAGCCAGCTTTCTTCATTTTTTGAGAGACCCGAGAAAGTGTTGCCATATATATGCCTCACCCTGTATTGCATACCCTGTTTTGACGTTAAGCTTCTGGTTGGTGAAGGCCGTCGATGGTGTTGCTCATCTGATCTTTCTGGAATTACCTTTTAGAAGCCATATAGCCTTGCAACGTACGTGTCTCGCTGCGAGACATCGAAGGCGCCCGATTGTTTCTTGGGTTTTGTCCAGGTACTGAAGAGGTAGTTATTCCAACACTTTTCGCCTGAAACCCACCGGTGCCTTGATCGATCTTTTTTCTGAAGTAGGAGATTTTGAGGACCATGTTTGAGTTTGGGTACGGACGGTCGTTGAAGGTGTCGAGTACCTAGAAAAATATTCAGTAAATTAAATCTGTGGATGCCACGGCGAGCGAAAGAACGCGGAAGGGTGCGTCAAGACGCCTCTGTCCCCTAAGCGTCAGAATTCATGCCTTTTGTGCTGCCAACTTGTTTCTGAAGGAGATGATGCATAGCTGCCCAAACATTCCTGGATTCAGCCTCACCCTGCAGGAAAAACAAGTATGAAATATGAAATACGGGCTCAAAACGCACCATTTTTCAGCCAAATCCGCACCACCGTCGAACAGGTCCAACCTGACCCGATCGCTAGTTGCCTCGAGCGGGATGTTCTGTATGCAGAGCGTCGTTTTGTCCTCAGCCGTGGCGTTGTGTGCAATTGGCGGCGACGGTTTCTTTGGGCGAAAGTCGATCAAAAACCAAGCCTCGATGCTCATTATGTGTTTTGTGCCCGGGAAGCATTGCTTATCGTGCATTTCGACAAACTGCAAACAAAGAAAATTAGTTTTTGCGGGTTTCATAGATTTAAAATTGTGACTTTGGCAAGGGCGTCTATGTATTTAGAAGACAAATAAATATTGATAAAAATATGTAAATCTCCAACTATTTATGGCAGCCAGTTTTCTATGGTTTTCTATTGTTTTGCCATGGTTTCTAGGGTGATTGGTTTACCTTTTTGGCGACCTCGGCGTTCGGCATCGACAGCAAAGCTTGCCCTGTCCGGTCGTCGCGCAATATTTCGACCCTGTCAGTAAAATAAATTAGATTAAAAAAAATCGATTACCTGACCCTCGACGACGGCATTCCGGTGGCCTCGCGGAAGAGCCTCTTGCATTTCTCTATCTTCTCATCATCATCGGGTTCTCTTTCGATACCACTGATGATCGCGAAGCGCTTTTCCTCAAACAATCAAACTTAGCATTACTTTTTGAGGACTTCTTACTGGCCGTTGCGGGGTACTTTGTTCATCAGGTTGAGCAGCCAGATCGCCAGAACCGGCTTGTGGGCCTGGCCACTGCTCAGAAAATCCGCTAAACCATTGAATTGCGCTCTGGACGACAAAGTTCTTCGCCCTGTGCTCGATTGTCTGCTTGCACTCCCAACAATTTGCAGGCCTACAATGGGGGAAGTAAGAGATGAAAAACGCGGAATACCCCTTCAGCAAGCAGCTCTCGCAAAAAGTATGTCCACACCCGAACAATACGAACGGCCACTTGGTCTTGTCGTCGTCTGAAAAAAAACACTCTATTCCGCTGCCAATTTGCAAAATAGAAAACGGAATTTTCCCTAAAAAAACAAAAACTTCTAGCTTACATGGTTCTTACGATCGTAATACAGTGTAATTTTACGAAAACGCTATGAAACTACATACTATGGGTTCAAATGGCCTGCCTTGCTCGCCTTGATAATGTTAAAGAAGCAAGTTTAGGTATCAGTTGAAAGCGCAACACTTACATGGTTCCATGCAAATTGTACAGCATAAAAAGTCGGGCACGCCATTGGCCTGGGAATCAGCAGTTATGACGTTGTTCGCAGGATTCTTCAAACCCTCGAAACATTTCCGAGCCTGAATTTTTCATTCTCGCATGCATAGAGGTATGCCGCGTTTAAATATTAAATGTTGTAGTATAAAATTTTCAAAAAGATGTAATCTACCTTATTTATAGTTTCCTCATCGGTACTTTGATCACGGGAGAAATAAAAACACAGATTTGGGGTGTACCTAAAGACTTTTATTTTTGCGACTTTTACGATTCCTCGGGCATTTTGGCCATAATTCGTTCCAATGTACAGCGATTCCTTAGAACTTTGTAGGCTTTTTATTAAAACTTAGCCATATGTAAATGGCAGTATCATAAAAAAACTCGTGAAGTTTTCGTCACCGATTTATGCTGATTACGATATTTTGTTGCGTTTTGAATCAAAATTCGTATAGTTTGTCGGTTACAGAATAGTAAAAACAACTTAAAAACTTTTACAAAATCAATTAATAAAAATTATAAATTAAATATTCGCAAACAAGTAGTTCAATTAACGGCACGAACTGGATCGCTTCAAATTCCGGGTTGTCGAGTAGAAAAACAACGACATAGGCACATAGTGCAGCCCAATTTTCGTGACTAAGAATCGTCAATCCATTATAGGTATCCTAAAAATATTTTGTAGCCACAAAAATGTTAGCTAAATACTTTTTTCGGGGTAATCGGCTCGCTTGCATCCAGTGTGGACGCTTGTGCGCCTGCTAAAATATGTAAAAATTTAGGAAATGCATTGATTTACCCTCCGTTCCCGCCTTAACGGCATTGCCATAAATATCTTTAAAGTAATTCAAGGCCGGTAGCACGACCTTCTGTCGCGTTTCATCACTAAGCAGCCGAATTAAGCCTTAAACGTTGCCCTGGAAAACTTACGGTATCTTACAGGCTTTGTTGATAATTGTCGCCTTCAGTTCCGCCAGCACGTCACTTGTGACCAGCACTAACATAAATTCGGCGAACGGCTCCATTATTGAACGCTTGATTGTGGGAATCCGGTGAATGGGTCTCATGAGTGGCTTGAAGGGCAGCTCAGTCCGGCTGAAACGCGCGATGACGCTGAGATTCTAACGCCTAAGAACAAACAAAACGGCTATCTAAACAGACGCGTCGTTTTATCTAGTCAGCTTTCCGGAAAAAATTGAATAAGATTCGTGGGACCTTGAGAAATCATTGCAAAAGATTCAGAAAACGGTTCTGGATTGTTAGCGGGGGCGGGGCGGTGGGGGGTTGGTAGTTTTAGCGGGGGAACCAAATTCTCTACGTCCCTATAGCAAAATATAGACCATTTTTATAGCATTTCACATAGTTTTGTGATAGATATTCTACAAAAAAATTTTTGAAAATCTTTCTTTTGGTCGAAGATTTATGAAAAATAACCAAAAAATCACAATTTTCAAATTTTCAGCATTTTTGAAAATAGTTTTAAAATTTAAAAAATTCAAAAAATTTAAAATACTTTCTATCAATAAAAACCACTAAAAACACCATGAAAATACATAATATATCATCAACAGGTTGGTTTGTGTGGTAAACTGGCCAAAAAACGTGGAAAACGCCATCAGTCCAGCACCCAGAAAACATGGGATCTTCAAATTTGCATACCCACAAGCCTAAATGAAAAAAGAGAACTTACATTAATCCATTCCTGGGATTTGACATATTTAGACCAGAGGAAGATCTTTGGCAAAAGACCCAGATTTTTTTAGATTTTTGAGAAGATGGTTTAAATTGAGACCTTTAAATGCTTTTTTTATAAAAATCGTCAGAAACTGGCCCGGAAATGACTCGGAAAATATTCCAAAATAAGCATACTGTATTTGCGAAAAAATCGTCGAAAACAAGTTCCAGGAGCCCAAATAGATTAGTTTTTAGCGACTACTTTCTTGTTTTAAAAAATTTTGCTTGGAACTTTGGGCTGCATAAAGTTTTTATGGATACGCAACGCTGGCAAAAATTTGGACTAGATCGGATCGAAGACGGCCGAAATCGCGACGGTTTTTTCGAGAAATATACCTTGTAGACGTCCAAATGCTCGCAGGTCCCGCATTTTTCGGTGGCCCAGAATTCGGGTCTAAGTTTTAGTTTTTGATCAAAACCTCCGAAGTTTTTAGTTAAGGTATCAGATCAATATTTTCAGGTTCTTAGTATAATTGTTCAAAGCGACAACCTTTAACGGATAATTCACCGGAAGCGGTTTGATATGGAGCTTTTTACGAACCAGCAGCTGTCAATCGAAGTGTCTCGGAATACTGGAGATAAGGAATTGTTTTTCGCCCACGGTGACTCGGCAAATACATATAGTCTTATCGCAATATGCTGGCGAATGCCTTTGAAAACGGCTTGTTTCTCGGGTATCCCAAATTTGTGCAGAAATTTATGTCCAGAAAATTGATGAGTTTGAATTTTTGACGTGGCAAGCTAGGAGAGTTTCCCTTGGACTTTGTTTAGTGTATTCTAGAAACGACATTGCTTTATTCAAAGCCAGAAACAAAGATTAACATAATTCAGTCGTGTAAGTTTGGTCGGTACCAGGGAATTTGGCCGTTTTATAGTAGGTAGTCATCAGGCTGGCCATCTTCTTCGTCGCGAACCTCGCTTTACAGGTTCTTGTTCCGTCGGGTTGCACGGCAAAGTCAAACCTGGAAATAGTGAAACGCATAATCCATTTGAAGCTATAGCCTACCGGGGTGGGGACGAAAACTGTATTTTGGTGCCGCTGACTGGCTTGTCGTGGAAAATCGCAATCAAGCTATAAATGTCGGCGGTGGGTGGGAGGTTTTGAAGAGAACCTCGTAAGGATTCCTAAAATTTCCCATTACATCCGGTCTGAAACTAGGCAAATCGCCAATTGATTGTTTGCGCGGGGGCAAAAACATTTTTTTCTGACGTAAGAACTGATTTTTAAGATTAACAGCGGATGCGTTTCTGCACTGTTCCTAACTATTCTTGAGCATGATCACTATAAATTAAATAACGGTTAATTTTGGGTATAATATTGCTATTTTGCACAAAATAACGCAAAATTTCGATTTTTTTGGAATATTTTTCTAAGTTTTGAAGTGTTTTTCTGTTGGAAAATATACTAAGCGAGTTTAAAACTGCTTTATATTGTATTACTAGGCCAACCGGCTGCATAAAAAAGCGGATTCCATCCCCGCGTAAGTGTTTTACGTAATGACTATTTTCGGGAAAACCGATTTTCGAAAAAATTGCCAATTATGAACGAAAAACCTCTTAATTCTAAACTATTATCAACAAAGATGTTTTTTCAACGATCACCACTAATTTCCGGTGTGTTATTCTCCTAATATCCTTCTAGCTTACCTTTACTTTCACAGAACCCTCGAGCACAGCAAGGCTCGGATGTCTTGGATTATTGTTCACACCGTAGTACTCGATTATCATCTTTTTCTGAGTACCCGGGTACACCTTTGCGTGCCAGTTGCTGACCGTCTAACGATAAGTAAAAGGTTTTTATGGTTTCAAACCACGCTTACCCTGATGCCAAGCTCCTCGCTGGCCAGGTACGCTACCATAGTCTTGATTTCCGCATCTAAATCGTCGCTGACAAGGTAGATCTTCGGACTAGAGCGGATTAAAGTTTAAAACCGTGACCGAAGCGATACCGTCCGTTTTCTTGCTTCAAATTGAGCTCCTGGCTGAAGAAAGTGGTGATCAGTTCTTCAATGGTGACAGTAGCAGGCAGGCCCCGGACGCATACGACGCTTTTGTCGGTCTAAATAGCAATGGTATGAAAAAAAATGTTGCTTGAACTTCACGTCTGAAAATTTCAATCGTGTTAACCTAAAAAAACCTAAACCTAAAGTTTAGGTCCTAAGCCCAAGCTCAAGCTAGGTCAAGGCCATTTCATCCGCCCAAGCCTAAGCCCAAGCCCAAGCTAAACCTACGCTGAACTTAAGCCTAAGCGCCCAAGATCATGCCTAGAACTGAGCTCATGGATTTGCCGAACCTAAGCCTAAGCCTGAGCCCTAACCTAAGCCTAAGCTTATGCTCAAGCCAAAGCCTAAGCCTAAGCCTAACCTATAAAAAAATTACCGCAGCTCTTGTAGGATCCGGCTTCTTGACAGCCGGTTTATGGGGTTGTGGTGCTGCCGGAGGAAGTGTCGGAGGTGTCGGAGGTGTTGGAGGCGTCGGAAGCACCGCAGAACTGGGTGCATAATTCGGCGGTGGTCCGTAAGTTGGAAAATTTGGAGGCGGTGCCATGAAGGGATAGGCAACCGGATGGTACGGCATGCCATACGGGCCGGGAGGTGGCATAAACTGCGCTTGGTGCGGGTTGAACGGCATCCGAGGCGGGACTGGCATATCGTAGCCCGGACGTCCGCGAGGCCCGCCTAAAGTAACAATTACAACTTTACTATGTATAAAAATAGTTCAGCGCAATGAGCGCACTTCCATGGCGTTATTTACCACCCAGAGCCATAGTGCAAATTTTTTTGGAATAAGCCAGCAACGTGTGCCAGTTTATGCGATCTTAAGTTAAAATGCACCGGAAACGCGTGCCGGCGCATGACTATTTCACAAAAATTTAATTTTCGCTGTTAAAATTGAGTTTTTGCAAAGATCTTCGCCATCCTCCCTTTTAGGAAGCAATTAGCATACGCCGGAAATGAAGAGGACGCACAATTATAAAAAAGACAGAGGACGCATTTTCGCAGCTTTCCTCATTCATAACCCCCGAGGTGATTTTTCACCTTTTCATAGATAGCCAGCGCCCAAAATCCGCTTCGCGGGACTTGGGCTCTGGATTACGACCTTTGCATGAAAATTTGACTTTGCGGTAGCTTGGGCACGCCCGCCCCTCGCCTCCCCCGACCACAGTCGCGCGTGCAATGTGCAATTTGCAAGAATGAGGAAATTTCTATTTTTTTCACACATTATGCAAATTAGCTCTCGCGGATGCCGGACACACACATCCAGAGAGACGCGCCAAAAATTATATAAGGTAGGATTACCGTATCCGTGTTGCTGGCTTCTGGCCGGCGATGGTGAGCGGCGATTCTGATTGCCGGTTGGGCGCTCTAAAACCGTTATTGATTTGCATATTTCCATTCGTACAGTTAACTCAAAGGCATGCCGATTAGGACCTACCAGTAGACTGCGTTCTCTCGATTTTCTTCTTTCGGAAGTAAGTAATGTCGAGGACCATCTTAGTGTTGGGGTAGGGCTGATCATGAAAAGCGTCCATGACCTAAAACGGGTCGTAAATTTGCAATTGCATTTCTCGGATACCTTTTTAGCTGCTTCTTCGGTTTTGAAAGACACGATGCATAGTTGGCCGGCACGAGCCGGTTGTAGGGTGATGCTAAAAGTATATCTTATGGATCTGTCTAGTTCTAAAGACTCCTTCTCCCCCCTCTCTCCCTCTCTCTCTCTACCTCTCTCTCTTTCTCTCTCCTCTAAAACCCACAATCGTTGGTTCAAATCTGCTCCCCCATTCAGCAATTCCTTCAAAACATCTTCCGATGTCACACGATTCGGCAAATTCTGTATGTAAAGCGTCCTCTTTTGCTCCAAATCATTATTCCCATCGATATCGGCCTTTGGCTTGCTGTCGAATGTCTCATGCTTCGCCGACATAATATTTTTATGTCCCGGAAAACATTCCCCATCGTATTTGTCGATGAACTGAATTTTTGAGCCCACATGAATTCAAAAAAATATTTTCAACCTGTTTGGCAGCTTCTCGCGTCGGCATCGACATGAACACCTTTCCAAATCGTTTGCCCACATAGCATTTGATTCTAAAGTGGCATGAATCAATGAATGTCTTCTGATTCCTAACCGTAGTTGCTCTACCGGTAACCCGGTTGCTTCTTCGAACATTTCACGACACTTCTCTAGTTTTTCCTCCTCACCGATGCGCTCGATGCCGCTGATGAGCACGGTTTGGTAGCCGATATTTTGCTGAAATCTTATCACTTTTGAGGAAAAGTGGAGTGCCCCGAATTCTGGATTCGCGGCGACATCTGGTTTCTCGTCCAGCGGCTGCTTGTTCTTTGGCTCTGCGCTGGGAGCAATTGGAGCCCGGCGGAGGCGATGGGGTTTTCTAAATTTTGTAGGTAATTTGCGAGCTGGCAAAACGTACGGTTTCTCAGCAGGGTTTGGAGGTACGGCCGCTTGCTTTGGACTCGTTGGGGTCGGCGGCCTCGGTGCATCTTTTTCAGTGGGATTCTAGAAATTTTCAGCAAATTGTAGGTAAAGCATTAATAGCGCCATCGCCACGATATTTAAGCCTAAGCTAAGCCTAAGTTAAGCCTAAGCTAAACCTAAGCTAAGCCTAAGCTAAGCCTAAGCTAAGCCTAAGCTAAGCCTAAGCTAAGCCTAAGCTAAGCCTAAGCTAAGCCTAACAAGGAGTGTCCTTTTAGTGTCATCGGCAAAACGATTCGAGACCCCGCTCATTCGATAGAGAATTGAATTCTGAACAAGGCTGTGTTGTTCATTTTTGCGAAATGGCTGTCCCTAATTTTGTAAAATTAAAAAACTGCCGGCGATGCCCATACATTGGTGCTTGGGGAGCGAATTGTTAAGGTTTCGCGCTTGGTTTTTTAATTCTATAAAATTAGGGACAACCATTCCGCAAAAATGAACAACACAGCCTTGTTCAGAATTCAATTCTCTATCGAATGAGCGGGGTCTCGAATCGTTTTGCCGATGACACCAAAAGGACACCCCTTGTAAGCTAAGCCTAAGCTAAGTCTAAGCTAAGTCTAGGCTAAGCCTAAGCTAAACCTAAGCTAAGCCTAAGCTAAGTCTAAGCTAAGCCTAAGCTACGCCTAAGCTAAGCTTAGCGCCTTAACGCTAGCCTTCGTCCTTACCGGTCGGTTAGTTGTATGCAGCTCATGGAACGCATAGTACACTGCCCATTCCACCTCAAAGTTCGGCGTCATTTCTTCGAATTTCCGGCTGCACTCCCAGCAGACGGCGCCCGAGTTGCTAAGGACAGTTTCACTAGGCTCCTGCGTACAGGCCCGTAGGAGGGGCGGGGCATGCCGCCCCCCGCCCCCGAAATCTGCAGATGGCGAAACAATGATAAGGGGGGACCCTTATCATTTTTGAAAATTTTTGAAAAAGGGCGGTAAACGGCAGATGTTTTTGAACCGCCGCCCCCCCGAAACCCTTGCCGCCCCCGAAATTTTGGGTCAGCTACGGCCCTGCCTGCGTATATCCCTTACTGTTCGGTCAGACACGTCGCGCAGTAGGTGTGTCCGCATGGAGTCAAGATTAGAGGACGTCTCAGATCGTCATCATCTCAAAAAACACACAAAGTTTGACGCTTGTACTTTTGAACTTACAAGGCTCTCGGCAAATCGAACAGCACAAAACGTTTTCAAGTTCCGGCTGCCCTTGAGCAACAACGACGGGAACTTCCAATTTGCTAGAGCCTCCTTGTTTAGTCGTGGCACTGGGCTTTTGATGGGGCTCCCCTAGCTTCAGGGCCTCCAGCTTTTTCAGCGAGTACGCCGCGTCGGCCAGCTTCTGCTTCTCGGCGCTGGCTTTGCGCTTGGCATTTTCTTGCTGTTTCTCGTCGACCCAATTTCTGACGGCCATTGGCGCCTGTAAATATTAATTAAATTTTGGCGACTTCCGTGATTTTTTGAATTCAAAAACTAAATATTAAAAAATTACCCGATTGACGACAGCGCTACCGGTCGCCCTATCTTTCGTAAAATAAAAGCATCGATTTGCTGTGTACCTAAATTCGCAACTTTATAATTTTTGATAGTAAAATAAAATTGCAATTCGCTTTTTTTCGAAAAAAAACTAAACTAGAGTCGATTATTAGGAAAAAAGACCCACCAAACCCCTTCAAAATCCGGGTTCTCCAAAATGTAGAGCACGATATAGGAGCACAATCCGTGCCAATTTTTGTGGCGGAGAATTGTGAACGCCTCGACGCTTACCTAAAATTGTTGAAAATGAGACTTAGCCGAAGCCAAAAAACCTAAGCCTAAGCTTAGGCCGAAGACCGATCCCAAGTCGAGGGGACTAAAGCCAAGCCGAAGTCTAAACGAAAACCTAACAAGGAGATGGTCTCAGCTCGACACCGAATTTCGATTTGAAAATTTGCACACTGGTAAAGCTCGACGAGACGAATCGATTGGTGTAACTATCAGCTGCCCATACGATAAAATAGCCGAGTTATAAGCATTTTAAGTTTTTGCATACATTTTGCATTTTTTCCGCCCTACCTTCATAAGCCCTCGCCCTTCCCCCATCACCGTGGCCTCGTGTCCCAGTGGCGTAGTCGGTGGCGTATGGGGAATCTATTGAAGGTTCGAACCCGCTCACAATTTTTAATTTTTGCTTTTTGGCACAAATGCTGCCATTGGCGTTCTGAAGGCCTAGAATCAGTTCGCATTCCTTATTTTAACTCTTTCAAGGCGCAGTGACCACAATACCTCATCATCAAAATTGGATTTTGACCGCACTTAACATTGACGACCCAACAATAAAATTAAAAATTAAAAATAGAACAAAAAGTTAAGAAAAAATGCAATTTACTGCTTGCTTGTGAATACACCGCATGCACTTTAAATTTTCTTAATTTTTTTGAAAATTTTGTTCATATTTTATTCATAGGTCAATGCCCATTGCGGTCAAAATCCAATTTCTAAAAAAAAAGATGTTTTATGGTCACTGCGCCTTGAAAGAGTTAAAATAAGGAATGCGAACTGATTCTAGGCCTTCAGAACGCCAATGGCAGCATTTGTGCCAAAAAGCAAAAATTAAAAATTGTGAGCGGGTTCGAACCTTCAATAGATTCCCCATACGCCACCGGCTACGCCACTAGGCCACCAGGCCACGGTGTTGGGGGAAAGGGGAGGGCTTATGAAGGTAGGGCGGAAAAAATGCAAAATGTATGCAAAAACTTAAAATGCTTATAACTCGGCTATTTTATCGTATGGGCAGCTGATAGTTACACCAATCGATTCCTCTCGTCGAGCTTTACCAGTGTGCAAATTTTCAAATCGAAATCCGGTCTCGAGCTGAGACCATCTCCTTGTAAGCCCAAGCCTAAGCCTAAGCCCAAGCCTAAGTCCCAACTTCGTCATAAGCATGGAACTACTCCTAAACTTAAAGGTACACTAACGTCTTGTTGGGGTGGTTGCCGGCCGGTAACCGTCCGCCGGTTAGCAAACAGGGTTACTGTAGGCGCTCGCCGCGGAGCAAAACCGAACCCGGACCACTTGCCTAGGGCAAGCGCCATAGACCATTAGGCCATGGGATAGACGTGATGAGGGAGGCGGAGAGGGGATAAGAAGGGTCGGGCCAGGCCACGGCAAGGTGGCCAAATTCCCGACCGCGATCCGGTTTTTTCAGCGAGATTTTAGTGTACCTTTAAGCCTAATCCTAAGCGTAAACCTAAGCTAAGCAAACCTTCTTGGGAACCACCGGACAGTCCGAAGAATTCAAGTTTGTTGCACCAGCTAAATCGAATTTAAAAAAATTATATTGACTATTTACCTTTTACTCCTTCGGCAATCGCCATTGGATAAATGTGTTTAAAGTAATTAAGACAACGTAGGATTGTTTTTTCTTGTTTTTCTTTGCTGAAATTTGAGCGGTTGTCTGAGGATACAAAATAACTGTTTTTCGTTTGGTACCTACGGAATTCGGAACGCTTGGGTGATGATGGAAGCCTGCAGCGCGGAAAGTTCCGGGCTTCTTGCCACCATCGTGATGAATTCTTGAATCGGGTCCATCTGGCCGGTAAGGTAACAAGAATCGAAAGTGGCTGCAGAATGGGGTCGACGCGGGAACGGCGAATTTTACGAGCAACAGAAAAAGGGGTGGGCGATAAGCTGCGGGGATTTCGACGCGTAAGAAGGGGTGAAGCGGCGACTCTGTGATTCAACAGCCGCGTTTGATTTGGCCAGGGTTTGATCGTTTTGCTGTGCAAAGCTAGGCGCCAATAGTCATGTTGCATCAACACGTAAGATTTGAAAAGCAACAAAAAACGAAAGAATACTTTTTTTAGGTTCTGGTTCGTTAGCGGGGGTTTTTAAATTTTCAGGGTTTGGAAAATGTTTTTTATAACTTTTGTCATCAAAAAACTATTAAAAACACTATGAAAATGCATAATATATCATCAGCACGTATAGGCGAAAAAAACAGAAAATAAACTCTGAAAATTGGTAAACTCTGAAAATGTTACGACTTGATCGTTCTTGTTGATCTTTGAAAAGCGAACTACCTTTTCCGGGTTCGGTTTTTGTAGATTTACCTTTCCGGAGCGGTGTGTTTTAGCTTGGACCGTGGCTTTGGCGGCAAGCAACAGAGACATAAATTATTATGGCCATAGAACGAATTTCACAAAGAATCCTTGCTAGCTTCCCCTTCCCAACCATAAAAATGGATCTAAAGCATCATTCAATGACCTTTGTCAAACTTGTTTGCAGTTAGTGAATAAAAACAAACAGAGCCTTTTAGACTATAAATATTTATCGTTAATAGTATCAACAAGTTCACGAAATCTTGCTCATCACTTGGATCACAGGCTTTGTATTTTTCGCACCCTCCGATTCGCTTGGCACCCTAAAATGCCTTGAACGAACAGTAGGTTACGGTACCGTTGCGTCGTATTCCTTCGGAAAATCGTGAACACCATTTTCCGAAATTCGCGATGCCTCCAAAGAAAAATGGAAAAATTCGCAAGGCTCTGAAAATGATCCGATTATGGTCGAGGGTCCGCTTGCGTATTTTGTTCGCATTTTATGTGCTTCAGGCAACGCTTTTTTGCAGCAAGTACTATCGCGGATTTAAGGATACGGCTACCAGGAAACAAAATTTAATACGGCCTTCCCCCGGGGACTTTCCGGATTATCCGGAAAGATCTTTGTACGTTTGGACTACGGCAGTTCGGGGAAAACGGTGCAAGTTCAAATATTTTTGCAGTGGCTGATTTTGTGACCAGAGAGAAAAGCTGAATTTGTAAAAATTAACAATTTTCCTCGAAAATCGGATGAAATTGTAAGAAAAGGACCGAGAACAATCAGCGCCGAGGTTTCAGAGCAAGATAAGTTTTTTTTATTTGACTTTCCTTACCTTGGACAACATGACGCAGTACCATACGCTCCGAATTTCCGGTGGCGGCCCCATAAACTTGTTCATCAACTCGGGGAGGAGGAGAAAAACGACAGCGGAGGCGGTCGTGAGCACTAAAATAACGGCTCCGATTAATGACACGTTTAAAATCGCAAAAATTGGCTGCACCACTTACGTGAGGTAATATTCACGCTCCGGAAGCTTTTCCGCTGCGCCTCGCTGAGCCCGACCATACGCTTGGATTGCTGAAAAAACGTAAATTCCTTCTTGGTCTTGATTTTTAGCCGTTAGTATGCCAATATATGTATTTTCAGTATATTTTTTAAGCAGTTTTTCGCTAGGTAACGAATCTTTAGTTCTCGAACTGAACGACTTCGGGATCTTGTCTCGTTAGTAGGGACCCCAGGGACCCAATTTTCATCCGGTAACAACTTCAAAGCCTTCTATTCAATTTTGTGAAAAAAGTCGATCTTTGGGTGCTTTCAATTCATCAAAAACTATTCATCAAAATCAAAAGCCATTCACCAAAACGATGATCGTAAAACCTGGCAGAATGACCGTTTTTTTAGTCTCCAGGTTCCGTTCAAAAGTAAAGATTCGAAAAAATACCTTTCGAAATAGGATTCCAATAATAATATAGATCAATATTGTTAACAAAACATTTCCAATACGATTATAGGTATAGTAGAGGTCGAAAGAGTGGAAAATCGCTGGCGATACAGGTATCAGCCACCATCGACGGATCCGTGAAGTTCAGAGCGACGTTGACAACGTATAAAACGATTGCAAGTGGGTAGGGCCCTAAAGGTTTGAATATGACAAAGAAGATAAAGCGGAATAGCGGGATTCAATATGCCAATTGTCATAAAACATTAAAAAGCTTTAATGCTCCAAAAGATTGGATTCCGGGCGATTCGAACCAGAAAATCAAATTCGGAAAGCTGAAGTTATTTAAAGAGGGTTTTCACGGCAAAATTAGATATTAAGAGCTTGTAAATTTTAGTTTTTTTCGTAAGGTAGGGCTTCATAACACTTTCTAGAAATAAAACTCGCATCCCATCATGTAAACCGCAAATCGCGGGCCCCATTTGTAATATTTTGTAGGCCATATCGCAGCGTATAGTCGGTCTATGGCCAACGCCAAGTTCGATGCACCCAGGATTTGGATAGCTATGAAAAACACGACCACATTTGGTGCAAAGGAGCATTCAAACGACGGGATTTTCGGGGCTGAAAATCTAGGTATTATCGGCTAATAATATGCTTACTATCTTTTGGGTATTCGCCTCCATATGCAAACTTTTTAAATTGTGATAGCAGCATAGCCAGCGCGTAGTTCCCGTCGGCCAGCAGTAGAAAAAGAATCGTAATAAAATCCTTGCGCTCTCGCCGCTGGCGGTTTGCCAAGATCATCAGCTCGAGGGGGATTGTAAAGGTGAGGACGAGAGTGGCTGAATATACAAAAATATAACGCACAAAAATGTCAGATTTAAGGTAATTTAGGCGCTAATATACTTTTGCCAGGTCTGCAGTAGCTCGTCATTATTTGGAAAAATTTACAATAAAAGAAACTAAATAACTGTCATTACATCTAAAATTATTACTTCGAAAACCAAAAAATATTCGAAAACGAAAAACGATCTATCGGTATCTATAGCCCAAAAAAAACAAATTCCCTACCTCACCAATTCTTTTAAAACTACTTACCCTCGACCAGGTAGGCGTATGTTGCGGCTGCCATTTCATAAATTTCCAACCAAAATCCTCAAATCCTCAATTCCTAAAAACGCCTGATTTCAATCGCATGAAGTTGAATTAACTTAAAAGCTAAAACAGCGAATCAAATATAGTTATTACGCAATAATGATTGAATGGAAGGTCCACCTGCAAGGATTTCAAGATAAATTTACACTACACTTAAGAGAGCTAATCTTTTCTCGGAAAGCAAGCTACTCCTTTGATCTTCTATCACAACCCAGAAGGCCAAGAAACTACGCCCTAATAAACAATTGCTCATACGGTCTGAGAAGAGGTTGGCCTGCCGGAATCGAATTTCCCCCCGGGAATTCGGCGCCACCAGCATCAATTTTGTTCAGGTTATTTCACCCCGGGTAATTAGAAAACGAGGGCCTTCATGAGCTTTTTTTTTGACCGGGAAAAGTGATTTGTCTGGAGGCAATCGGGTCATGTCGCGTGATTGGATCATTGTACCAGTTAATGCTGAGGACAGAAAATGGAAAAGGAACCGCATCGCGGAGTGCGACGCGTTTTCTCTCAAGCCCCTTTCTCTCTCTCCCTCGTTCTCTCCCTCTCGCTCTCGCTCTCCCTCTCACTCACACACTCTCTCTCTCGCTCTCTCTCCCTCTCTCTTTCTTTTTCTTTCTCTCTCACTCTCTCTTTCTCTCTCTCGCTCCCTCTCCCTCTCTCTCTCTCTCTATCCTCTCTCTCTCACTCACTCTCTCTCTCTTTCTCTCTCTCTCTCGCTCTCTCTCCGTTTCGCTCCGCTCTCTCTATGCTAATAGGAAATATGCTTTATTCATAAAATTAAAATCATCAAGAGCTGGATTACTGTAGCGGCACGCTGACCCTTTGACTCCGAAACGGAAAATGTGGATGATGACTTCGCGAGCTGTCCGATTCAGTTCCACTTCTAAAGAAAATACACACTTCGAAATTTTCATACCGAGTCGGCACGAAGTGGTGAACTTTGAACGCCGACAGTACCAGTTTTCTGAACTCTCGATGACGCCAGAAAAAAATGGCAAAGTTGACGAGGCTCTAAACATAAAATATCAGATTTACACCTTGAAAACAATATCCATTTTAACTAGATAAATTACAGCAATAACTAATGGTAAGGCGCCGAAAATATACCTTTGACAGCATCACGCAGTACCAGGAGGCTCGTATCTCGGTCGCACCACCCGTGTTGTACTTTAGCATGATTTCCGGTAGTAATAGAAAGACGACGGCCGAAGCGGCGGTTAGAGCTGAAAAATTTTATTAGAATTTTGTCAAACTAACATTTTGTTAGCTTTTAATAATTACAAAAATTTTAAAAAACACGCCAATTAAAACTGTCTTGCTCTTAAACAAACTTTCTCGTAAAAAAATTTAGGCAGCGGCTGTCTCAACTGGAACCCATAATTTGGCTTTAATGATTAGCATCGACGGATTAATAAAAGTTTCAACACCCATTATTAATTTTTTTCGTAATCAGGAGCATAGCGGAATTGAGAAAATATAGCTTGTTTTTAATTTTCCAAGGCCCTAATCGGATCTTAAGGAACCGGAAGGTAATTCCTGAAGCGGCATTATAACCGGATTATCAATTCTTGCAATTTTTAATCTGAAGCGTACCGGAAGTGATGTTGACCCTCATGAAACTCTTCCGCTGCGCATCGTTCAGGCCAAACATTCGGTTTGAGTGCTTCAAAAAAGAACAAAATTCGAAAAATTTGGATGGCAATTACTCTGCGTAGGATCAGCGCAATAATTCCGTAGATCAACACCGTGATGAGGACGCTCGCCATGCGATTATAAGTGTAGTAAGCGTCAAAAGAAACGTGGGGAAAATCGGAGATGGAGCAGTAGTCGGGGACCTGCGACGGGTAGAAGACGTTCAGCAGCACGTTGATGATGTAGAAGCCGATTGCGA